ACATTGACCATCCTGCACCTTGGCCGCAAAGCCAGCCCCCTCGGCCTCCTCCTAAACATTTTTATAGACGCAGCCGGAAGGTCCTCGGCATGGCCGCCAAGCCTGAAAGGAGAATCATGAGGACAGCAAAACCCGAAGATACAAGCTCTCTGGGGCCCTTGGTCCTCGTAAAAGAAGCAGGAATAGAGGTCTGATGCTTCCGGAGGACGCACAGAGAGCCGTCTGTCACTGTACATGGACGGACATGCTCACGCATGCACACACTCATCCACCCACGTGCTCCCCTGGGCACACAAGCACACAGTCACACACGTGTTGTACACCCCCACGCTCACACACGCTCCCCCGCTAGCTCGAGTGCATGCACATACGTGAGACCTGTGACATATTCTCAGCACAGGAGTACGTGCTCATGAACGCACACACTCACCCCCAAGTGGACATGCATGGCCCTGCTTCCTGGAAGCCAGACTTGGAGCAGAGTTGACCCTGGAACTTCAAGGCCCTGGGGATTATGGGCTGAGCCCCCAGAAGGCTGCCTGCAGGTACCAGCTTCCAAGACACAGAACAATGGAGGGGTACAGAGGGGGCTCTGCCCCTAGGAGACATGAGACTTAAGTGGCTTAACGTCTCCAAGCCTCCGTTTCCTCATCTGTCAAGTGGAGTGCGAGGCTGTGAGGAGGCTTCTCAGTTAAAATATGTACAGTGCCTGGCACACAGTAACTGCTCAGGAAATACCAGCTGGTTTTCAGTAGTCAGATTTGTAGTGTTCCCCAGAGACTTCAGTTAGGAAGCTGGGGCCGGGTTGCTCAGACCAAGACTTCACATGGGACAACTGAAGAAGACACAGCGGTAGGGAAGCCAAGAAAACGGAGGCAGCCGGCCCCACCACCCAAAGCCGGCTCAGCGGCGGGGGCCTGAGGGCCCTGTAGGGGCCCTGTCATGTGCCCCTCAGTCTCACCAACTGCCACCTGGCTGGAGCTCCCCAAGAAGACAGTGTCTGCGAGACAGAACCATCATCAGCCATCACGATACACGGGGAGGGGTCAGAGATGCAGCCCTCCAGGGCCCCGAACCTCCTGACACGGCAGGGAAACCACACGCTCGGTCCCACCATCCGGGGACATGGGTGGCCACTCGTCCCGGACTTAAGAGTTTCCCCTGAGCCAAGCACACCAAGGCCTCCATGTTGGGACGGTTCATATGACTGGACTTCTGCCTCAGTTTCCCCACCCCAGCTCCCGGGACCGGAGCCCTCTCCTCATCGGCAGCCATTCCCCTGAGTGTATTCCTGTAGCAGCACACCCTCCAGAACCCATTCTCCTGTTCTTCCCTCATAACAAAACTTCCGGCTTTCAGCTGAACACGGAGCTGCCCAGGACAAAGACTTCATTTCCCAGCCTCCCTTGCAGCTGAGTGGGGCCATGTGATCAAGGAGATATGAGCAGATGATGTGGGGGCTACTTCTGGGACCCTCAGAGTGGACAGGCCAGCTTAACCCTTCCTCCACCCGGCTGCCTGGATGCAGACGTGACAGCTAGAGCTCTCGCCCCATCTTAGACCATGAGGACTAAGGCCTTTGGAGTGATGGAGGCAGGGGGCGCAGGGGACCAGCTCCTAAGGATGTATGTATGGATCAGACACTCTAAATGGCCTACTTTCAAACTTTTATGAGAGAGATAAGTCAAGTTCTCGTTGAAGCCTTAGTTTGAACCACTACTGCTTGTAGCGAAGCCTCGTCCTCACAGCTGTATCCCCCTATCACACTGCAGCCAGCTCCTGATGATCCCACATGGCTCTGAGCATTACTGTGGGCTCAGAATCTCTGCCGTTGGACCCAAACACCAGTGAGACCACTCTGCATAGCTGTGTCCAGTCAGGCTGGACCTCCCCACCCCTGAAGACATCAGAGAAGTGACCTCTGGCTTCCCTCCCCTGAGGTCAAATCCTACAGCCAAAGGCAGAGCCCCCAACACAACACGGGTTTTACCTTATCCCAGCTCCTTCTGCCTCCTGGGAAGTCCCAGTGTGCCCCGGAAGTAACAGAAAGGACCACTCCACTGGCGGGGGGTGTTAAGGGGAATGATCCCCCCCCCACTTCACTGACTGCTGAGAAACTTGGGGCTTTGCCAAAAATGGAGCTCCAGCTCCCAGGCCACACTTACCTTTCTCAGATGCTGGGGCCAGGTCAATGAAGCTGCGACATTTCTCACCTTAGGAAAGAAAAGAAGAGTTTTCAGAATATGAGAGGGAATGAGTGCTTTAGGCTCACCTCGCCCCATCCCAGAAGCCCTGGGGCTGGGCGGGGAGCAGGGTGGGCCCCAGCATCTCTAACCCACATGGCGTCTTTCTCCAACCCTTATTCCTAGAAAGACGGTATCCTGGCACAACGTGGATGGTGAACCCGCAAACTCCGCTAAACAGCACCCGTGATGCCCCTCCTCTCACCTCCCAGTCCAGCCCGGCCCTGTCACTCCCACTCCCTCAAAGCCCTCGGTCCCTTTCCACAGCCCCCACCCCGGCCAGGCCCACAGCCCCTCACGGGCTCCCCTGGCCTCCACTCTGGCCTCTGTCTAATCCATTCTCCACACTGATGCCAGAGGGATGTTTTCAAAACACAAAGCTCTGAGGGCGGCTGGTTAGCTCAGGTGGTTAGAGCACGGTGCTCGTAACACCAAGGTTGTCGGTTCGATTCCCACATGGGCCACTGAGCTGTGCCCTCCAGAACTAGATTGAAACAATGACTTGACTTGGAACTGATGGGTCCTGGAAAAACACACTGCTCCCCAATAAAACAAAACAAAAAAACCCCACACAGCTCTGATCACGTCAAACACACATGCGCACATGGGCACAAACGTGTGTGCACACTCCTGCTCTAAACCCTCTGATGCCTTCCCAAGGGATAAAGTCCAAATTCTTCACGGGCACCCAGGATTGGCCTCCACCATGTCTCCACCAACATCCCCTAGCAGTACCTCCTTCCTCTCGGCACCTGTGTTTCCGTGTTCCCTCCCCCTACCATGAGGGCTTCACCCATGCTGTCCCCTCCAGAACACACGCCCCCCTCTTGTAAGGTCTCATGGCACTTTGGCCTTCTCCTGTGGGGCACCAGTCACCTTATAATTCTTCCTGTGTGTATGAATCTTGGATGGATGGCCCACGTGCTGTAAGACCCATGAAAGCAGGTGCCACGTTCTCAGTGCATCCCCAGCTCAGTACATGGCAACTCCATCTCCAGGTTCTCAGGCCGAGGCCTTGCTTTCTCTCTTTCTCTCACACCCCCTGAGATCCGATCTGCGGCTCCAGCTTCATAGTTTATCTAGAATCTGACCACTTCTCATGACCTCCACTGGTCCAGCCATCATCACCTCCCACCGGAATTGTTGCAGCAGCCTCTGCATGGGTCTCCCAGGGTCCTGTTATAACCTAAGATTATGTGGTTTCTCGGGGCAGAATCTCCTGTGATTCCCAGGGCACTCAAAGTCAAAGCCCACATCCTCACTGTGGCCTACGAGGCCCTGTGTCACCTGTCCCTCCATCGCTTCCCTGATCTCATCTCCTAATACCTTCCCCCCGCACTCTCCACTCCAGCCACACTGGCCTCCTTGCTGATCCTTGAATGTGCCAGGCACCTCCCTCCCTCAGGGCCTTGACACATGCTGCTATAATACTTCTGCCTGGAGCTTCCTCCCCCCAGATAGCTGAATGCTTTATCCTTCTTCTCCTTTATCACATTCCTCAAATGTTGCCTTCTCAGGGAGGCCTTTCCTTATTCATCATCTAATATCTCTCTCCTGACACTCCCCATCTCTCTTCCGGCTGGACCCTTAGCACCTAGACCAGCGCCTGCTACATAGTGAGTGCTCAGGAGATATTTGTTGAAGGAGTATATGAATGAATGAACAAGCAAATGAATTAATGAACAGTGAACGAATGAGTGAATGAGTGAATGAGTGAATGAATGAATGAATGTACGAAAGCCTTCTACCCAAACCTGACACCTAAAAGAAACGTCAGCTCTGATGCCCTTGGACCCATGGTGAGTTACTAACAAGGTGAATGAGAGTCAGTGTCTCCTCCCTAGGGTTCCCTAAGGTCCACTGGGTTCCCAGGGGCCCATAGGAGAAGAATGCCGCCCCACTTCAGGGAGGGGACAGAAGAAGGAATTTGTATGGGAGGAGGGGGGAGCTAGCAGACCCCAGGGGAGAAGTGTTTTTGGGGGATCCGTGAACAGCAGGACCTCCACAGCCCCTAAGAAGATGTCAGGGCCTTCCAGGAAAATGGCCTGGAAAGCTGGATGTTGGGGTTGGAGGTCACAGGCTCAGCAAAAATCCTGCATCTGAAACAGATTTTCTGGTCAAGATGGCAGTCTAGGTAAATGCTATGTTCACCTCCTCTCAGGACCCCATCATTTACAACTAAACCACAGCACAACCATCATTGAGAATCGCTTGACATCTGACCGAAGCCCCACAACTACAGACACACAGAAGCAGCCACCTCACGACTGGTAGGAGGGGCGGAGACACAGAACATGCTGGTCCCACACCCACATATGATCACTAAAAATTGGGAGGAATATCTCGGCTGTGGAGATCCTCCCCAAAGAGCGAGAGGTCTCAGTCCTATACTAGGTGCCTGAGCCCAGGGTTCCAGTGTCAGGGAGAGAAGTCCCCATAACTTCTGGCTGTGAAAACCAGCAGACTGTGTGGCTGAGTGAGATGGAGGGAGGCTGCAGTCCTAGGAGCTCATCTTGAAGGGACAGCACACGGACTCACTCCCTGGTGGAACCACTCACTCTGAGCTCCAGCGCTGGGGCAGCAGCTTAAAAGGCGACAGGGACACACAGAGAGGAACCAAATTGTCTGGCTTCGGGGTGAGGGCTGAAGGGGCAGCATTCTCCCAAAAGGAGAGGCTGGCAAAAGCCATTGTTGCTTTGTTGAGCCCTCCCCCTCCCTGTGTGCAGACACAGGCAGACACCATATCTGAGTCTCCATTAAACTGGCTAACACCTTTCATCTGCCCCACCCTAGTGATTCCCTGAGACCCCACCCCAGCACACTTTCAGGCACACCCAAGCCACCTGCAGTGGGTTTTCCATACAAACAACCTGTCTTAGCTCATGCTGCAGACTTTCTAAAATCTCTCCAAGTTTCACAAAACCCAGACAAGCAGCATCTGGCTTTGGTGTGTTCCGTATCTTGAGCTGAGCAGCCCTAAGCCTGGCACTAGCAACAGACAGCCTTGGTTCGCAGATTGGCCTCTTGAGGCACCTCCAAGCCCAGTGTAGGCCGTGGCCATCTGCAGACTGCTTTGTGGTTCATGCCAGCTGGCCCCAGGCACACACATGCTGCTGCTGAACTTGGCCTGCAGCGGGTCCCCTCCTAAGAGGCCCCAGGGCTGGAACACCTGGTAGCCAGCTTAGGACCAAGCTAGAGCATCACCTGGCCACCTCCAGGGAAAACACACCCAAAGGGCAGACTGGGCAGGCACCAGAGCCCTGCTAAAGTGAACCCTGCTCTGTGGGGTCAGCCCCTGCACAGCTCCTCCACCATAGTTATGGCCAGTCATCACAACCAATCAGCCTGAGGGTCAATCCCTCCCATTGATGTACCAACAGCAACCAAGGCTCAATTACAGTAAGAGGGCACACACAACCCACACAAGAAACACACCTGCAGCACCCAGCTCTGATGACCAGGGAGACTGTACCACTGGGTCCCACAGTACACCTAAGGCCACTCTACTAGGACTGGGAGACATAGACCTACCTAATACATAGAAACAAACACAGGGAGGCAGCCAAAATGGGGAGACAAAGAAACATGTCCCAAATGAAAGAACAGAACAAAGCTCCACAAAAAAAACCTAAATAAAATAGAGACAAGTCATCTACTAGAATTCCAAACACTGGTTATAAGAATGCTCAATAAACTCAGGGAAAACTTAACAAAGAGATAGGAAACATAAAAATGGAGATAGAAAACATAAAAAAGAACCAGTCAGAAATAATACAATAAATGAAATGCAGAATACATTAGAGGGAATCAACAGTAGATTAGATGAAGCAGAGGGTCGAATCAGCGATTTGATTTAGAAGATAAGGTAGCAGAGAAACCCAATCAGAGCATCAAAAAGAAAGAAGAATCCCAAAAACGAGGATAGTTTAAGGGGCCTCTGGGACAATATCAAACTCAACAAAATTCACATTATAGGGCTACCAGAAGGAGAAGAGAGGGCACAAGGAATTGAAAACCTTTTTGGAGAAATAATAACTGACAACTTCCCCAACCTGAGGAAGGAAATAGACATACAAGCCCAGGAAGTACAGAGAGTCCCCAACAAGATGAACCCAAACAGGCCCACACTAAGGTATGTAATAATTAAAATGCCAAAGGTTAAAGACAAAGACAGTCTTAAAAGCAGCAAGAAAATAGCAGTTAGTTATCTACAAGGGAGCCCCCATAAGACTGTCTGCTGATTTGTCAACAGAAACTTTGAAGGCCAGAAAGGATTGGCAAGAAATGTTCCAAGTGATGAAAAGCAAGGACCTATAACCAAGATTATTCTACCCAGCAAAGCTATCATTTAGAATCGAAGGACAGATAGAAAGCTTTCCAGATAAGAAAAAGCTAAAGGAGCTCATCACCACCAAACCAGTATTGCAAGGAATGTTAGAGGGACTTCTTTATGACAAAAAAAACCCCACAAAAAAAAACCCAGAAAGAAAATAAATCAAAATTATGAATAATAAAGTGGCAATAGCTACATATATATCAACAATTACTTTAATATAAAATGGATTAAATGCTCCAATCAAAAGACATAGGAAGGTTGAATGGATAAGAAAGCAAGATCCTTACATATGCTGCCTACAAGTGACTCACTTCAGATCAAAAGACACACATAGCCTGAAAGTAAAGGGATGGAAAAAGCTATTTCATGAAAATGGAAACAAACAAACAAAGCTAGAATAGCAATACTTATACCAGACAAAATAGACTGTAAAACAAAGGCTATAACAAGAGACAAAGAAGGACCCAGTAATTCCACTTCAGGGTATTTATTTATCTATCTAAAGAAACCCAAATGCTACTTTGAGGGGACCTGTGCCCCCATATGTTTATTGCAGCATTGTTTACAATGGCCAAGGTGTGGAGGCAGCCTGGGTGTCCATCGATGGAGGAATGGATAAAGAGGAGGTGGAACA